AAGTGTTAGCAATCTTGGCAGTAGGCACCTACACACTCGCTGTACAAATGCTGTGCACACACCGTCTGCATCGGACATCTCACTTTCTAAGACTCTATCCCATTATGACTGCTTCGTAACTCGCCAGAACCGAGGCTTAACCATCTACACTGTTGCATATGGCAACACTATTCATAAAAGCGTGATTAGCCGCAGCTGTGTCTCATCATGCAAAAATTGTTCTCAAACTTCCATCACTTAATCCTTGTGGTAAAGTTCAAATCTATTTGCATTTTTTTGTCTCTGCTAGGTGTAGCCAAAATTTAAAACTCGTCAATACCCATTGTCAGGTGTTTCTTATGTTTACCGGAGCGAAATAGACAACTTGATTCCCAAACTTCACGTAGACATTCCTTTCCTAATCTCAAGTTTTTATAAGCATAATCTCTAGAATAAGGTCAGTTTTATTTTGAAGTTTACTGTAAAGAAACAGAACTCTTATTCATCTGTTGTGGAAATACACTCTGCAAAGGGCTTGGCTAGCAGTCGGCCTTCTTGTCATTAAATTTATTTCCTTTTCTTGAAGGAGTCTTAAATGCGCAGTTACCTTCATGAAGACTGTTCATTTTACAAGGCACCGGTTACTGTGACAAATCAGCATACCATGTCCTTTTATTAAAGCTCTGGGCATTAAATTTTGTGGTTTTTGCGTATTTTATCACCAGTCAATCAGTAGAGCGAGTTTTGCCCGATTCCCTGCGCTAAAGTTGTACGACTGGCCGGAGAGATAGTGTTAGCACTAGATGTTATTTGATGGCAAGCCTTCAGTTGCATTTAAGAGTATGTGAAAATATCCTCAACGGTGGTATAAAATAAAACAATGTGGGATCTTTAGCTATCCTGGTTTCTGATACTCAAAAGGAAAACGGTAAGAGGGAAATGGAACTAAGGCTTTGACAATACATTACTAGGTGAGATCAAGTTATGAATATTAAAGCCTATTTTTGGCTAGAATTGTAAGGATGTTTTGAAAAACACATGCAGACCAGTATATTAAAATACTATTCGCTAAGAGCGAAGTTTTGCAGGTATTGCACCTTGCGTAATATCGCAGAGATCTTTACCGCTCTCCTTACGGAGTTGTCAACTCGATCCTTATATATCATCTTTGCAAATCCCGATTTGTCAAATATCGGCTGCTATGACACCAGAAACACGCGTCATCGTAGCAAACAATGAAGGAAATGACTAAAAAGTATTTTACGTAAATTTCTGATAAAGTGTACTTTAAACATCTGGAAATAAACGTGTTTCATATTCAAGAAAGTCGCGTCAACTTATACAGGATTCGGCGTGTGTTTCCGGAATCCATTTTATCCAGCAAATGCAATTTAGTGAATGATTAGATCAAACTCCGAGTTCCGAAATGAAGCGCAACGAGTTAAATTTTACTAAATCTCCTAGTGCTGCCGGATATTTTATTCCTCCTCTGCCTTTGTCATCCGTCTTGCCGTCATCAGTCGCAACTCACTCGCTCCTCCTATCGCTGCGGTCTCTGCAGTAGTTCAACGCAGGACCATCTTGCAAGGCATTATTGCCTTTCTCCTCAGCAAGGGCTGCAAACGCATTGCTCTCTTCTACGACATGCGTATTACCGACTTTGACATTCCCGAGACGTTGGCTACAGTTCCATTAACGCTTCCCATCTCACGAAAAAGGCAAACAGTGCTTCATTTGCTGACTAGTGAAGGCATTACATTGACGATAACCTCACTAATCTATTAGAGCCATCAGTATATCATGTCGGTAGTGAGCAATGATTTGTTAAACGCTAGAGCAGATTGTCCTGGTAATTCTACTTATAAATCCTCCACTTTAGTAGCATTGATACTAGAAAGTCCATCATTCAAAACTTGACCAAAATTAAACAAGGGGCGATTGCACTCATTCAGGTGGTCCCCATGAATATGCTCAGTTACCACGCCTAAGTGCATGCAGATCATTGTTGTCAGAATTTGGACACACATTGGCTGCCAATCGGTCGGGCATCACTCCTACCACCTCCTAGGCAATCCATGTACTAAGGGGATTAAATAGCACATAAGGAGGCAATCCAAACCTCTTCACCATCATTTTACATGTGATCTATACAAGTGACTTTAGTTGTACATTCACTAGACGAATGTGCCCCTATTGGAGACAGTGATCTCATATTGTTGTTGTAGTCTTCACCACCACCCTGAATAATATTTTAAACCCACTCACTAGAATTGACTGCTAATTGAGCTGTTTTCTGTCACTTGTCGTGGCAAATTCTTATGTGCAAAGTTGTTGGATAATTGCCGAAACATGCCTTATAAAGGAACACAAATATAGAAATTTCAAAATAAATCAGAAGGGGTGAGAACTTTGTTTGCATAGATGATGTCTTAGGGACGCTCAACTTTTACTTCGCCGTTACGACTCGCTTGCGATAGAAATGCTAATGAGATGTTTTGGTTCAAATTATTTTAACCCGGAAGTCAATTCAAGGGTAGGTTCTTAAAAATGTCGTGAGTACAGTAATTTTTGTGGATTGATGAAATGCTATCGTTTGATCAAATTATTCGTAATTGTCTTTTCAAAGTAAGAAAAAATTGCAATTAACAGAGTAGAAGCAAACGCTTATTGCTCACTTCTTAAAAGGGCGATAGGATCACCGCTTTTATTCCACGAGACCCGATGCTTACATCACCAGTTTGGTTTAATAGGGTAAAAACACAAGCTTTATTACAATTCTTGATTAGTAACTAGCAGTCAAATGTGTAACATCGGAAAGAAAGAAACTCTTTTGCCTTTCGTAAAATTGCCCTCGAAAACTTAACTAGGTAGAAGGCACGAATATTGCAACGATAGAGAAAAAAACTAACCTTTCCAAATTTTTATAAATTTTGATGAAAATCCAACAACTCAGTACTTGTTTTTACTACAAAAACTGAATAGTAGCTGCCAAGCACATTCGGATAAAAAATTTGCAAGACTTTTGCATCTTGGTAATGAAGTGCAACAGCCATGGTAGATTTGTCTGTTCCCTTTTGAAGTATTAGCGATGGTCTTTCATTCGAACCTTGTATGCCTATGCCTACCACGAAGGATATATAACTCGAAACGTTGCGCAAATGTGAAAATAACAAATATGCAATAAAATTATAAAAATATGAAGTCCATAAATTTAGATGATGACCTTGATGTCCTATGTCTTTATCTGAGTTTGAGAATTAACGGTATTGTCCTATCAAACATTGCACATAACAGCTGTTTGGGGGGAACAGTGCGCAGCGCTGATCATGTTCTCCTTCTCCCTCCCTATGCATCAAAATGAAGCCAAGTCTTAGCGCCTATCCTGATTCCACAGCTGTCTTACTAATTTATAACTCACCTAGTGTAGATGACAATGTTGTAAAT